ATCCGCCTTCTCCCTCTGTCCACACCCCAGACATAACTAGGTAGTGTTTTGTATCCCCTGCCTAAAACTGAGATATAAACTAAGCTTCCCTCTTGGAAAGTGAGCTTCTAGTGCCCGCAAGTGTGTCCCCGAACCACAGCCGAAGACACACATCAACCGATGGGGACTGGGGAAGCCAGCACCAAGACGAGTGTGCCCTCAAGACGCCCCAGGCACCCCTCACAGCCTGCAGGGGCCCTCCGTCTCAGCCTCCGTTTCCCCATCTATAAAAGGGGGACCTTGTTGCCACACAGGAGCGTCAAAGGAAAAAATGAGACGAAATCAGCGAAAGGCAAACTGTGAACTGCTAACCAAGAGGATTTGCAGACCTACCTCATAGAAGTTATTACCTTCTGTTTAATAAAAAGCCCTTATCGTGAATAGCCCTTTAATTACCAGCCAACAAACATCTCAAAATGTAAGCTCAATGCTTGATGAATGATGTGATTTTTCTAAAACAATAAAACTAGAAATTCTCCTGCAGTTCCGTAAGTTGTACCTGCCTCTGGGCAGCTGGGCCCCTGGCAGCAGTGACGAAGCAGAAATCAGGGCAGAGCCCTCACTTGGGAAGCTGAGCCCTTCCAAAGGCCAAACCCCAGCTTAACCAGAAAGTGGTGGGTGCTGTGTGGGACCTCATCCCCGGCCAGAGTGAGCCAGGAATCCCCGAACTGGAGTTCCATCCCCTGCACCTTCCTCTCCCCACTGCAGGGAGCACATCCGTCTGTCCGTCTGCCGGTGCAGCAGTCCACCAAAAGACTCCGGCTTTTACTCCCTGATCTTCCTCGTCTCTCTGCCTGGACTTGGGCTCAACAACACTCCCATCTTTGCTGAGCAGATGACGAGAGGGAAAAGAGGGAAACCACGGACAGTACTTCCCTATTCCAGAAGCTTCTAAGCAAGAGTATCCTTAGCTCATTTTAAACCTCCGGGCAACTCCAACGGTAGCTCTCATTAAGCTCATTTTTGTCAAGGACACAGAACAAATTAAGTGCCAATCTGGGACTCAGGCACAAGCCTACCTGAGGCCATCGCACCCGCATCCCCAGAGACCCCAGCACTTGGTCACTCACCCTGAGTCACGGCTGCGCCTCCTCCCGAGTCTCCGCTCTGTGGGGGCAGATGGCCCTTTACTGACTACTATCTGCCACGAAACATATCTCTCACAAGATGCGTGAGAAAGTTTCACTCTGTTTCTGGAAAGTTTTTTAAATGAAATGCATCTGAAATTAGGAGGCTGCCCCACAGCGATATATAGCAGTTGGCCCCAAGAGAACGTTGGGGGTGACTGAAGGCTGGGTGTGCAGACACTCCCAGTGACTCCTGTCACCCTTTGGGTAAATGTGCCCATGCCATGTCCCTGGAGATGCTGTGAGATATTTCAAAGGCAGGCTGAGGACTTCAAGCTTCCCAGGCTCCCTAGACTCCTTCCAGTGAGAGCCTTCTGAGGGAGAGACCCCTGGGACCTTCCCCCTGTGGAGCGGGAGAGCACCACCGTGCAGTTAGCTAATCAGCCTGCCTTGCTCCCGTCCTCAGAGGAGCTCACGCTGTGACCCGGTAACACCTCAGGAAACTCTGGGGACCCAAGACTGGTCCAAATGAAGCTGCTCTCAAGTGGGTCCCCTGGTAGAGGGGCCGGCCCTAGATGTACCCACACTTGGAGGGCTCTGGGGGCAGAGGTTCTGAGGAGAGGATGGGGGCGGGAAGACACCTTCTTTATCATAAGATCACTGTCATAAGATGATATCAGGTGACCCAGTCCACTCAAGAGAAAGCCCTAGAGAAAACAAACTCAGTGTCCACACACCATCTCATACCCATTAGGACGGCTACTATCCAAAAGCAAAACAAAACAGAAACAAGTGCTGACAAGGATGTGGAGAAATTAGGACCCGTGAGGCCTGTGGATGAGATGTAAAAGCTTCTATGGAAAGCAATTGAGCAGCTCCTCAGACACTAGAAAATCGAATCACCACGTGGTCTGGCCATTCTGCTTCTGGGTACCTACGCAAAAGAACAGAAAGCACATCTCAAAGTGATCTTTGTACGCCCACATTAACAGCCACATATTTGTGATAACTGAAACACGCAGGCAATCCCAGCGTCGATGGATGGATGGATGATAAAGAAAATCTGGTGTGCACACGTCAGGGAATAGCATTCGCCCTTAAAAGGGAAGGAAAGTCTGGCGCATGTTCCACGGATGAACCTTGAGGACGTTCTGCTCCGTGAAATAAGCCAGTCGCAAAACTACCAGGATGTACAACTCCACTTAGATGGGGCGCTTAGAATAGTCACCCTCATAGAGAGAGAAAGTCCAACGGCGGTGGCCAGGGGTCATGGGGAGGGGACAGTGGGGAGTTGGTGTTTCACGGGGACCGCGTTTCAGTTTTACAACAGGAGAACTTAGGAGGTGCATGGGGGTGACGGTTGCACCACACGAATGTGTTAAGTACACATAAAAATGGCTAGGAAGGCTAATTTTATGTTATGTGTACCGTATGACAGTGCTTTAAGTGTCCACACATTAAAATTAAGAGCCCCCCGGTCCTTATTGCTCCATCAATGACCAGGTTTCACTCCTTGTTTTGTTGTGACGTGTCTCCTCCTTCAGCTTCGCAATCCAACGCCGGTCTTATTAATGGTAGGATGAGAAAGGAGAAAAGGACAGAGAAAGAAGGAACACAAGACACAGGCAATTTGCCAGGACCAAAGGAGAGAGAAATAAGTCACGGTCAGTTCAGGAGGCACTGGCTCTGCCCCTCAGCCAGGCCTTGCCAGGGGCTGGGAGGTGAGCATACCCGCCCTGGGCCCAGGAACTGGTCTTTCCTTCTGAAACTGGCCCTTTGGGGAAAAGGGGAGGCGGCAGCGTAGACAGAGGACCAGGTTACAATCCACAAAATGTGTTATCATTGTCCTTCCGGGTTCTAAATGTTTCTTTCTATGAGTCAGAAAGGTTAACTGGGAGGCTCTTGAATTAAAAAGCCGCAGGGTTTTCCTTTTATAGACTGTCCTCAGGAGACCTCTCCCTGAGTGTTCCTTCTGTCCTCATCCCCAACTGGCAGCTGCACTTAGCATGTGTGTTTACAGGAATACCAGTAGTTATTGCATGTTCCTTTCCATGTGATTAAGCATTGCCATAAAGCCCAGGCTGGATTAGAAATAGACCTTTCCCTTCTGAGAACGGCTCAAAAGAGCGCAGCCAGCGGCAGAGACAGGTGTGCGACTTGCGCCACCTACTGGCCACTGTGGGCATCACACAGCAAAAGCCGAAGGGGTGGACCGGGCTTTGCCACCTACCAATGAACTTACCAGAAGCACTGCCCCACCCACCCTGCAGGGCGGGAGGTGACTAGGAAATGCCACCAATCAACCGTCCTACCCTGGAACTCAGCTCCAGACCTGTGCTCCCTAACAAAGGGCTCTGGTCACCTGGGCTATTATCTGAGGCCACCATTGAGTCTCTTGCTCCCACGAGAGGGTACTTCAGGACAAGGGGACCTTACATCACAGAATTATTCTACACATGGGTTCAGACTTAAAGATGAGGGACAGACACCTCCCTGTGGCTTACAACTATAGCATTTGCCGGGTAACATTTGACAAATTGGTTTTGGTCCTTTGACCCTCAGAACAGTTGATATGAAGTGTGTTCTCTTATTCTTATTTTAGAGATGAGAAAACCAAGAGGTTCAATCGCTGGGTTCAATATTTTTCAAACATGCAGAGGGAAAGGTCAGGGTACCTGCTGCGACGTGGAACTATAACATAATAGTTCCTTTTTGGTCTGTTTTCCAAGGCAAACACACCAACGTAAAGATATCCAAGTGTTGTCTTAACAGTTTGGAAGATCCTATTTAAAAGTTCCCCCAAGCAAATGAGCATCCCCAGCTTTCCACCCCCTCCCTGGTTTCTTGGTTCATTTCAACAAATATGAATTGACCACCTTCTGGGGCCCAGCAGAGCAGCTGGTAAAAGTGACTCCATCACCTGCCTTAGGGTAGGGACACTCTTGATGCCAAAAAACTAATTTTAAATAATGGAAATGTGCCGCCACTGAGGATATTCATGTTCTGAAGACACTTCACAAAGAATTTGGAGCGATAATAGGAACACCGTCCATATGTAAAATCTCCAAGAGTGACCACTTCAAACAAGATGACATTCATGAAAGTGTGTGTCCCAATGTGTTCATTAAAAAAAAAAAAAAAAAATTAGCAGTGTCCTGTTTAGAGCCACACCTAACATTTAGGTAAAGAGTTCTTTTTTTTTAAAAAAAAAAAAAAGATTTTATTTATTTATTTGACAGAGAGAGATCACAAGTAGGCAGAGAGGCAGAGAGAGAGGGGGAAGCAGGCTCCCCGATGAGCAGAGATCCCGATGTGGGGCTCAATCCCAGGACCCTGAGATCATGACCTGAGCTGAAGGCAGAGGCTTTAACCGACTGAGCCACCCAGGTGCTCCTAGGTAAAGAGTTCTTACAAGTGCATATAAATCTACAATTATCTCAAAATATAAAAGTTAAAAATTTTTAATCTTACTGTGATCATAGCTAAACAGAAATGAGAAGATAGTAAAAATAAACTACCTGAGTTGCTTTTATTATGGAGGAGCACTTTGTCAACTTTTAAGTTTGTGTTTTTGATATGTGGGTGCATTGCTTTCATCTGTAATCATTAATTGATTTGGTTATACACAGGATGAGTTTCAAAGAAGAGACAACGTTGAGATAAAAGGAGGTGAGCCCAGTACTCAGGCCAGGACACTAACTGCCTTTCTTTGAGGTGCATCTTCTTTTTCTTGACCTCCTTTTATAGACCAATAAGCAGTTCCTGGTGGAATGATGTGATGTCATCAGTGACTCGTGTCAAGGGCTCTGGAATCTTGGGAGCCATTTGGTTCCAAAGACCTGGCTACAGTGAGTGTTCTTCTCACACTGTTCTGAGGCTGTGCTCCGGGTAAGGGTAAGAGGCCTAGATCCTGAGAGAGCCAAGAGGTCCGCTCTGGGTGAGTGTCACTCATTCCCGTACTAGACTGAGTATGTAAGGCCACCCAGCTCGGCCTTCCTAGAAGGGTGACTGAGGCTCAACTCTCACTGCCCCTGGCCATTCCTCCCTTGAGCACTGGTCAGACACGAGTCCTAATCCCAACTCCAAAGTGCTCTAACCTCAGTCAAGGAACAAATCTTACTCAACTCAAGTCTCCATTTCCTCATCTGTAAATCATGTAAGTCATACACCTTACCTCACAGATCATTTTAAGGATTGAATGAGGTCATTTTTTATGCATTGATCAATATTGGAAGTTCAATAAGCAACCAATAACTGTTAGCTATTTTATTTTGTTGTATTGCCTTTCTTTTTTTCTTTTCTTTTTTTTTTTTTTTTTTTACACACAGAGCGAGCGATCACGAGTAGGCAGAGAGGCAGGCAGAGAGAGAGAAGGGGAAGCAGACTGCCTGCTGAGCAGAGAGCCCAATTGCGGGGCTCGATCCCAGAACCTGGGATCATGACCTGAGCCGAAGGCAGAAGCTTAACCCACTGAGCCGTGCAGGCGCCCCTATTATTGCCATTTTAATTATTATTAGGTTTCACCAGGAGCAGGTTAAGCAAATAGAAATGGCCCGGTCAGAATCAGGTTGAGTGCCCTCTGTTTTTTTCCATATGCAGAGAAGACAGGATCCCTCTGGGCTCCACATGAGCTGCCTCAGAGACTGCTCCGAGCCAACAGGACCCAGCAAAGAAGAGTCAGAAGAAAAGGGTATGCATGGAAGGGAAAGCAGGTGTGCGCGGTCGTCTGGCTTCTGCCCAGTCTGAATGATTGAAGTTGCCAGAACACCATGGCTCCAATAGTACTTCCCATTCCTCCTCTCTGCTCTCATGTGTTTGGGTCTGCATGGGCAGGGGAAAGGGCTTTTGTGGTGAGACAGGGATGTCACTAGCCTGTGCACGTTTGTGGCGATTAAAGACATCATGACGAGAGAATTTTACATCCGTCTCTGTAGAGGTATCTTCCAGGCAGAACAATCCATGGAAAGAGGCACAGGAGAGCAGCTTCTCCGGGCAAAGAAAGGGAAATGGTAACTTAATCCCTACGCTCATCTATAGACAGGCGCAAAGGGGTGATGGTCACTCTCTTATCCCTCCAGATGTCACATGCAAAATTCTCAAGGGCAGCGGGAAAGGAAGAGCCTGGCATTTCCAGGTGGGTCCTCCCGCCATGTTTACACGGGATCCTTCCTCTCTCCCTGCAGCTCCATGGAACAGGAGCCCTCTGGCCTCCGGTTCTGCCTCTTCAGAGGCTGTCCCTGAGCAGAGAGCCAGGAGAATGAGAGGCCGGAAGAGGAGGAGATCGATGGATGTCACAGCAGGTATGTGTCCCCGGGTGTGCCTCAGCATCCCTGCACGAAGCGTCACCTGCTGCTGAGCGACCACTTACCATCTTGTCTTCACGAGGCTGAGTCCAGGTCCAGTTATCAGAGTGAGCGGCAAGACAAGGACCCCAGTTCCCAGGTGGGTCACATCCACGCTCACTCAGAATCTTCTGTTTCTGCAGCGGCCCAAGACAGCAGCGTCCCGGCCTCCAACTCTGCCACCTTGGAAGCTGTCTCTGAGCTGAGGTCCTGGAAGAAGAGGGGCCAGAAGAGGAACATCTGGATGGTCAATCATGTTGAGGGAATGAAACTCAGGATGAACAAGAGGAGAAGACCCAGTTACCGTCCTGAAGACCAAGAAGCGTTCTACCGACTTCTGGGTGTGTGCTCTGAGCGGATGGAGCGTCAGGGCCCTGCGGAGAGTCACATTGGAGGCGGTGGCTCTGGGATCATGCTCAAATCTCCCCGCCTTGGGCTCTGAGCTGTCAGGGGTCTTGGTGGTACCCGACACAGAGGGACCTTGATTCTGCTGGAGAGGCCGACAGGTTTCTCCTCTCTGAGACAAGTTGTTAGCGGGAGTGGGGGAGGCTACAGAGGAGGGTGCTCAATGGGCAAGACATCTGAGAATAAACCAAGGGCTGCGACCTCTGCCCACTGAGATACATTCACAGATTCCCTCCAATTAAGATTTTGGAGATCAGCGATGAAAAGACAACCTAGATCTCTCTGCTTTTACGTTCAAGGTGGGAGGAGACAAAAACAAAGCTATACAGAAATAAGTTGCTCTCAGCCAGTGACAAATGCAGAGAAGTAATGTTTTTTTCCAAAGGCAACGATGCCTGGAGACGGAGTGTGAGCAAGGAGAGGGGAGCTCTGTGAAACGGTGTCCTCAGGGGACGTGTGTCTGAGAAGGTGCCATCAGGAGCAGAGGCAGGATTAAGTGTGATAGCCCTGGGGACGCTGTGATCATATTGTCCAATGCAGCATTCGTTAGCCACAGGTAGCTATGAAAAGTTTACTTAACTCATTTAAAATTAAATTTAAAAATTCACTTTCTCAGTCTCATGAGCCATATTTCAAGTGTGCAGCAGCCACATCGTGGTTAATGGCTACCGTATTGAATGGTACAGATCTAGAATGCTTTCATCGTCACAGAAAGTTCTATTGCAGAGAGCCAGACTCACTGGAGAAGGGTCACGCTGCTGTGCAAGTGTCATTGTTCTAGGCAAGGAGAGAGGGAGAGACAGTGCCCAGCATTCTCTCAGGGCGCCCCTGGAAAATGGGACCTCCAGGGGACAACTCTAATCCCAGACAAGGCTGCTGGGAGCAGGGGGCAGGGGAGGCCGAGAGGTCAGGTCATTATCTGCCGGAAACGAGGGCATCCAGGAGGAGGAGGGCAGGACGCCCAGCACCCCCAGGGGCTGTGGACCGAACACCACAAGCTCAGGGCACTCGGTTAACGGGAGGTGGCAGGAAGCTTCACTGGGCATGATAAAGTAACAAGGATAGATGCGCTATCACAGCGACCGTGGCTGCAGCCAAGCTCTGGCTTGGGGCAAATGTGTTAAGCATTGAGAGTCAGGTCACATCTCTGTGATCAGTGGATGTATCCCTGCCTATCACGTGGAAGTTGATAATAGCAAAATCCAAGACCCACAGCTGAAACTCACGACAGGCATCACTGGAAGGAAAAGCCACTGTCACAAATATTAAGACTCACAACCCTCCGGGCAGAAGGGAGGCTGCCTCCACTTCAGGGAGACAAAGGGACTTGGGGGAGGCTCCGGTTTTCCTCCTTCCCTCTGGAATGTCCCATAGCCCACCGCTCAGTTCTCCCAGAAGGGCTGCTCCAAGAGCCCCTCACTTCTCCCTTCCTTTGCAGAGGACCCCGTGATCCAGAGCTTCTTGGAAGCTGATATTTTCCTCAAAGTATCTGATAAGGTATCTGCAGCACCAAAATGAGGAGGGGCCACGGGGTCCACACAGTCACCACCAGTGGGGGCAGGAACAGAGAACCAGATTTCTGGTCGGGCGGGAGAAGCCCTGGGGGGACCTGCAATCCATGTCAGAAGACACACCCCCTGAGGCCTAGCCTGCCTATGGGCATCTTCTCCTGGCTTCCTGTGGGTTCCTCTCCACATGCCACAGGGCCTCAGCACAGCCCGCCCTGAGGGGTTCCCGCCATGGCCGTTGGATGGGGCAGGACCTGCGGCCCATGTGGGACACTGTCCTCACCTCTACTGACCGTTTGCCTGCCTCCCATGTCCACACAGTACCTGCTTTCCATGGTGGTGGAGTACTTCGGCCGTGTCGGGCTGCCCGGCCACCTCTACAACAGGATCCACTTCTTCCTGGCCCTGTGAGTGCTGCCTCGAGGATGCTCTCAGTTCTGGCCCAGCCGCCCGTCCCACAGCCTCACCACCCCATCAGGATGGGCTTGGCCATGCCTATGCACCTGAGGGTCTCAAGTGGTGGTTCCTCTTGGCCACAGAGCACGCAAGGCTCTGTGGGGGGAAGGGGAAGGCAATGAGTAAGGTCATGGGGGAGGGGAAGGCTGCAAAAGTAGCCAAGAAACATCACTTGTTGCTCAGAGACTGAGTGACCAGAGGGAGAAGCCCCAGGGAAATGGCAAGAACCTTGGCCTGGGCCAGGCACAGTGTGGGCCCTACAGGCTGGGTCCCGAGGACGGTCCTGCTGTCCCTCTGGAGCCAGACTCCCCGCAGATAGGGCTTCCCGGACCCTCCTTCCTGGACAGACCGCCCTGGGCATTGGGTTCTCCGGTGTGACCTTTGCAGTTTCTCCTGGCCATGCTGCCTAAGACCGGCCCTCATTTGGGCCTGACAAGCGTCCCCCCTTTCCCCACGGCAGCTACATTGCCTCTGACATGGAGGAGGACAACCCCACATCCAAACGGAGCATCTTCCAGTTCCTGCTGGGCAGGGAGCACTGGCCAGAGCTCTACAAGGAGTTCCTGAAGTTGAAGGTGGAGTTCTTCCATGCAATGGGGCACCGTGCCTGGGTCACCCCGGAATTGTGTGAGGAGGTCTGTTGGGGACCTGGACGGGGGGCGCACCCCAGTGGTGGGGCTGTGCCCTTGCTCCAGGTGCTCACGCTGCTGTTTCCCTTTCAGATCCAGGCCCAGAACCCGCATCACTGGGTCTGGAGTCGGGAGCGCCAGTGCGCCCCCTAGTTCCCCGGGGAACAGAGCGGGGGCTGCAGGTGGTACAGGTGAGTGCTCTGGGGCTCCGCGGACAGGAGGTCTCCACCTTCTGTGCCCCTGCAGTCACCTCCTGGGCTGGTGGGCATGAAGGGGAAGCAGTACAGCATCCCTTTGAGCATATTAGCATCTAAGGGCTCTGAGAACTCCCATGATACAGAAAGTAATTACCTGTGTTTATATCAAAACTCTCCAAATGCATTTGACTATGGAATCAAGTATGCAACACCAGATCCCGATTTGATATCAAAAAAACTTTTTGGGAAAACTCCTGGAAATGCTGATCTAAATAATGAAAACCTCTGTGGGGTTTTGATCGGAGTTGAAAATTTTAAACAAATAAATGGAATACACTGAAGTCACCCTTTCTGGAAAAGGGGGGTTGTTCCCCTGGTGGCTCTTTGGAGGAAAGAGAGAGATTAATTTCAACATGTCATCAGAAGTGGTATGTGTTTACCTCCCACATGAAGCAAGCTTAGTACCTGGGTCCCTGAAGGTTGTGTCAATTTCGTCTTGTCACAGGCAAAAGGAGCTTCTAGGGCTCCTGGTCTCTGCAAAGATCAGATCGCTGGGGAAAAAAGGGCACCAAGCACCTGGGGAACTCTGAGAAAGCACACCGTAGATGCCACATTTATGAAAGTGGACGCTTGGCCAGCACCACGCTCTTTAGAACATGTTTTCTTTTGTTTAAATTTGGTTTTTATTTTTGGGCTTACTTGAAGTTGGAGGGGGAGACCTTTGGTGAAACACAGAAGGCACCCTTTGCCTGGGGAGATGGTTATACCAGAATAATCTTGTGAACTGAGCCACCCCCCCACCTCTTTGCAGGGTGTGACGGAGCCCATTCTGACCCTAGGAAAAAGAAGGTCAAGTGTGCTCTGTGATAAACCAAGTTTGGGATAAAGTTTAATTCATCCACAGGCGGCTTATTTGAGGACCAACAACTACTATATATGTCAGAATCTCAAATTCCAGAGAAAACCGCATTATTGCTATAATAAAAGAAAGAGAGACAAATAGTGGCTACAGGGGCCACTCTTGGATCTGGTCACTTAGACAAGCACTGAAAGGGGGCAGCTGATTTTGCCTGAGCCCCTTTCCAACACGCACCTGTAGTGGTGCACTGAGAACTTCCTCACCCGGGAGTCTGCCTCCTGCTCTGATCTCACTTTCTTTTCTTGTAGCTCCCACCCATCCCCTGCCTCTCCTGCCCCAACACCAAGCTGCTGCCTCCTTGGCAGGCTCCGGGAGGCACAGAGGGACAGCACTGGGCCTTCAGTTTTCCTCAGACCTACAGGAAGGAGGGTGTGGGGACAGTCAGAACCATGACAGCCTGCACAATGGCTCCCCAACCTTCCAGTGAGTGTCAGCCTGCAAAGGCCCTGACCCCTGGTAATCTGGAAGAGTGTAGTAGTAACATGGAGGGGGGACCAAAGGAGGCAAGAGACCAGAACAGGAGCCTCTGTGGAAACTTGAGAATCTGGGAGAGGGGACGGAAAGTCTGGGAAGAGGCCTGGATCACTGAGGAGGAGGCCCCTGAAGGTAGAGGCCAAAGAAACAGCTAGAAGATGGTGAGGTGAAGAGAAGGAGACAGGAAGGGGGTAGAAACACATGAGGGGAGAGGATACAGGATGTGGCCAGCCTATTCTAGGCAATCAGCATCCTGGGGACAGTTGTCCTTGGAGGCTTTCCTGACACTCCACTAGAAGAGATGGTGGGGAATTCCAGCCAGGAGACTAGAGGGAGACATGGAGCTCACTGATGTGTGGATCTAATGCTGAAACAAGAAATGGGAGTAAAGGGGGGAATCCTATGCCATCATAGGCTCTGACATCATTGAAATAACCCAAGTTTCAAAATGAGAGGAGAAGGGAGAGAAGAAAGGAGGATGTCATGAACGGATGGATGCCTGGGGGACAGGTGGGGAGGTCCCAGGGTGCTACTGAGGCTAGAAAAAGGCAGTGGAAGCTGAGGTTAAAAAAAAGGGGGGGGGGGTGACTGGAAGAATCCTATACGGATATTAATGTTAAATGTATGCACAAGAATACAATCATCCTGAATGCCAAATAAATGAATATGACAAATTTTAAGAGGGGAAAAAAATCAAAGTTACATGGTAAATATGAGAAATATAGTAGAAATATAATACAGAAACAATTAAAAAATGAGATTCAACTGAGATCAATCATATTACTTGTATGAATAAATCTGAACTCACAACTAAAAGACTTTCAGGTTGATTCACAAAGCAAAACCCAGCTCTGTCAGATTATCCTTAGATCATGCCGAGGTGCTAACAATGAGATGAGGGCGTGGGGCGCACCATGCAAACACCCTCCAATAAGAGTAGGGATTGTGATCTTGATACCAAGGAAAGGAACATTCAGATGCAAAACCCTTCAGAGACGTGGAAGAACACTTGGGATGGGGTTGGGGTTGGGGGGCAGGATCTGGGGGCAGGTGCCCAGTATTCCAGGCAATTCCACAAGCCTGGGCTGGCCCACCGCCTCTCCATGTGCTCAGTGATGCTCCTAGAGTTTATAGCACTCTTGACAGACAGATGGATAGATGGGTGGATGGATATACAGATGTATAGATATGTATAACTCTTCTAGATAGGAAGTCTAATTACTGGGCAATAATTGCAGTTACCAGACAGACAGTCTAGCTCTTCATCACTTTTTTCCCATAGAAATGCTGGATTTGCCACGAAACTGCTTAGACTACAAGATGTCCAGGAACCTCACAGTCAAGCAGAGACAGAATATCCAGTCTTGTAAAAAGTTGACTCCCTTCAGGAAGCAATACAGTTGCTGTTCAACCCTGACTATCCCATGAGGGCTTAGCATTTTCTTCCTGAGTCCTCTGGAACTTTGCAGTTGCAAATAATCATAGCTCTTACTATCTGTGACACCTAGTCCTTGCAGCCCCAGAAGGCCAAGGGAGAAACAGGCTAAGAGGTGGTTTCTCTCCTCACTCATGCATCTAGTGACTCAGTCTTGGGAAATCTGGCACAATACGGGGCCAACCCACACGGTTTGGGTTACTCAGCTGATGATGAAAGACCATGCGTTCTTCCTTTAGTCAGGGAGTCCTCTCAGTGTTAGGGAGAAACCCAAGGCCACTCAAGGGGGGTCACTGCCACTGTGGCCTGAGTTTGGTCCCATCCAGATGAGTTAGTGTACGAGTTGCAGGACTGTCATAAAATCTTGGTGTTAGAGCACACCTGAGGGTGTGATCATGGGAAAGGAAAGTGAACAGCACCTGGGGCTCAAGAGATAGCCAAGGGGCTGGAAATTCCATGAGCAAAACCAGATACCAAGTGGTGTGAGTGGATTTTATGGGACTTGGGGATGGGGCTGATTTCACACCTGGGTCATTATGTCCCACCTAACACCACAGGGTTTGCTCAGGGACCCAAGCAGAAAGGGTGTTGATGAAGGGAAGTAGATGGAAAAGTTTAGGGAGCAGGAGCCTGAGAAGCCCCTGCAAAACTCATCTGGGGGCGAGGGGACACCTGTCACAGCTGGTGGTGGCTGCAGCCAGGTTTGCACCGTCTGCCCTCCTGCCCACCCGTGACCCGTGAAGCCTTGGCTACCTCTTCCACCTCCAGGCCTCACGTGGGCATTTCTCACTGGCTCCTCCCAGTGGCACACACTTAACCTGGCCCCACACAGGAAATAGCTGGAGGCTGAGCAGCAAGGGGAGGAGGTGGTGAAGATAACTGAGTTGACATCCAGTCCAGGCAGAGGGCATGGATCCAGTGAGATGACCCGAATGAAAATTAACTAGAGGAGAGAGGGAGTTTGGAGCAAGATGACACCAAGATGACAAGATAGCACCCACACAGCCCTCTGGGGTTTTGCAGAAATTTCAAGTAGGGGTTGGTGCTCATCTCATCTAGATCTTACCAGGGAGAGACACTGCAGCTAGGGATGCTAATTACAACGATTTGCTAATGATTCTTCCTTCAATTGTTGAAGAACTATATACGTTTACCCACACTTCAGTTGATGAGATTATCTTCTTAATCTCTGGAATGGTGCACAGTAAGCAAACGAAAGCCTTGACTGAATGAAAAATACGCACGAATATGAACACAAGACAAATGAAAGAACATGGGCAGCACTAACTAGCTTCCAAACACTGTCCCTGTGATAAGTCCCCCCACTGACATGATTACCCAGATCATGATCTAGCACGTCTGGGTTCTGGAAGCCCGTGGACTACAGCTTCCCAAGGCAGCATACCTGAATGTAAGATGAGAGATGGATCCATTAACCACAGAGACAAGAAAACAGATTTCACACCTAAGTATTGGAGTAAAAGCAGTGGAAATTACGAATGTGCATTTTTAATAGATTTTCACGGATTTTATTGAACCTGGAATAAATTTTTTTCTAAATTTCCTATTTCATGTTATAATGTGCCACAGAATAGGAAGAAATATTTTCAGCTAAAAGAGACGTTTTAAATTAAGACCGTTGTTATATGACCCAGAAAGCAGCTCACAGGACTAATTTAATTCCAAGAAAGTACACAAAGGTCTTTGTTTTTCTAAAGATGCGCAGAGAAGGGAAGGGTCCACAAACTCTGTCTGGTGCAACATCCTCCTAATTTACGTTAATCTGCCTCTTTCTCAGCATCTACTGCACTAAGGGAATACTGAACCAGATTTGGGGGTTTGAAACAGTATGGTCTGAAAGCCCAGGCCTGTTAGGGGTTGGGACTGGAGCAGTGCGGCCTTGGGCCAACCCACCACTTTCCTCCCTGAGCCTCAGGAGTCTCAGCTATAGAAAGAGGGGCAGAAAGATCTTCCACTGCTGACCTTTTATGCAGCTGCCTGAAGACAGACAGTCCTGCCATCTGGGCAACCCTTACTCCCATCCCAGCCTCCCTTTCATTCAAGGACAAAACATGGAGCAAAGCAAGAGGATGGCCCACAGGCAAGTTCATCCTTACCCACAAGCCAGAATTAAGGATACGGTTTTAAGGGCTTTTCTTTCAATTTCTCAAAAAAGACTTTCCCACGGCTTGTGACTGATGAGAAGCAAGCAACGTATTTCAGAGTCAGGGAAACCTGGCTGGCCCTGGGAAGCAGGAAAAGCCAGTTACATGGTTATCTGCAGGGTGACTGCTATGTGCTGACAGAGGCCTCCAGCCTGGGGGTACCCTCTTAGGAGCTGCCCCTCCAACCTCCCCTCTGCTTCCTTCTATTGCTGGTTGAACACTGCAGATACTGGGGGTACAAAGGTGACCAAATCCCATCCCCTCCCGCATAGCTGAATTGGAGAGATCTTTATACAACTTGGCATTTTCTACAAAATGTGGTATGAGGATGGAGGAACCCAGAAGACAAGGCCCCAGCCCTATATGCAAAAGAAATATTAGTTAATCTATGTGCTACCAACTAAGTCTTCCTGGTTTGGATCTCAAATTGTTCCATGGCCTTCCAGCTTCGCTCAGCTACCAGCACCCTCTCCTGACTTTGGCCTACTCCTGTCTTCAGATTGGGCTTTGACATAGCTTTCCTCGGAATACATGTCACACACACAGTCTACAAATCCACAGTCTACAAATTCCTGCCTTGGATCCACATGCTCTGGCTTCTACTCGGAATCGTGGCTCCCAAACTCTGGCCTGTGCCCAGCAGGCACAGTGGCCTCCCACCAAATGGGTCTGTACACCGATCAAGCTGAGAGATGAGAGGCCGCCTCCTCCTCCTTGCTTCCACTGGGCTGTCAAAAGATCTCTGAGCTGGGATCACCATAAGCTAAGTTGGCTGGTTCTTAGACAAAGGGTAAAAAAGTGGCCTTACTGAAGATCAGGCAGCACTGAGGGGAGCTCTGTAAGGCTTAAGCCAACAGACGCTCCTGCTAGGGTCTGGCGTCCATGCGTCAGAGCTACCCACAAGTTCAGGCCTTCACCTCTTCATAGGACATCGTACTCAAGGGAGATATCAGCCCTCCCT